GCTCACGACCTCGCTGCGTGGGGCACGGGACCTTGCTCCGCGGGGCTCGGGACCTCGCTGCGTGGGGCTCTCGACTCGCTGTGGCTGTCTCAGGACCTCACTGTGTGGGGCTCAGGACTCGCTGCGTGGGGCTCAGGACTCGCTGCGTGGGGCTCAGGACTCGCTGTGGCGGGCTCAGGACCTCGCTGCATCGGGCTCAGGACTCGCTGCGTCGGGTTCAGGACCTCGCTGCGGCGGACTCAGGACCTCGCTGTGTCGGGCTCATCGGACGTACCAGAGCGTTAAATAAGTGTCTGTGTTGGCGGTAACACAACCCTGAAGGTGACGGACGAGGACTGAAACACTAAGGACACTTCCACAGGGTCCTTGGTTACACATGAAGATGAAGGCTGTGATCTGCACGTGTGTTTGCTTCCTCAGCTGCTGTGGAGCCTGACCCTGTTCCTGTGGAAGATGTGATTGAAGCTGCTGTGGCAGAAGACACAGCTGCACCCTCACCACCAGGTATGTGTGGACAGCAGAGTCAGCTGTCAGTGAGATATACTCAGTGTGTAAAGACACATCAGTCACAGGAAGTGCTTAGAGAGTCTGACAGTGTGAACTTTGTGTTTCCTCAGAGCCTGAAGCTGCATCAGAATCAGCTCCTGTGGCTCCTCCTGAGGCCGATGAGGTTATACTGACAAACCTTTCACTCTTATTTCTGTTGCGCTTCCTTCCTGCTGATGACACTTTGGTGGTCTACCTGTTGTTGTTCAGGTGATTGAGGAGGAGCCAGAGGTGCTGGAGGAGGAGCCTGCTGCAGAAGAGGAGGATGCTGCTGTCGAGGAAGAGGAGGTGATGTGTGTTTGCTATTAGTGTGCTGCCATGTCAGTGTGTCGAGGAGTAGACGGAGCAGAGACTCTTTCACTTGTGAAACTCTGAGCTGCACTTTGGTGAAAAGGTTCATTTATTCACTTTTATTTGACTTTATTTGACACTTTTAGATTAGAATTAGTTTCTTTAATCCACAGAACATGGACATAAACAAATCCATGTTTCTGTGGTAGAAAACAGGAACGTCTGTCATGTAGCTGTTTACCTTTCACTTCATTGCGTTGGCGTATGGATGGACCCAGAAACGAAAAAGTTCTAAAAGTTATGAACATGTAGTAAAAAGTCCAAAATTAGTGTGTTTCCCAAAGCTGCTGGGTGGGCTGCAGTAGGGCCGGCCTGAGCTTTGAAGGAAACTGAAACAGCCACATCATGCAGAACAAACTCTGTGTGTCTCTGATGATCTGTGTCCCCCAACCAGTCTGACAGAAGCATCCTCACACATACAGCACACAGTAACACATGTTCCTCACACACACAACAATCCCAGTGTCCTCTATGTTCTGCTCAGTTCATCCTGCTATGGGAACGCCATGTTCTTCGTTTGTTAA